AGGGTTTTTAGCATAGTTATAATGATCCGATTTTGTTCAAATATGCACTATTTTGTTCAATAATTTGTTACAATTTTGAAGGTAATTTCATAATAGCACTCTCGTCTTTATTGCCAAATAACTGGGACAGTCGATTTACACAAGCTTCTCTTGAATCGAAATTTTTACCAACAAAAAAGTCGCCATAAACATGGACAGATAGTAATCACTAGGTGCCAGGTACAAACTATCAGATGGATGCATAATAACCTCCCAAGCAAGCTCCCGCACCTATCGATGCCCTGATGAAGCATTAATTCCACTTCTATTGGCCAAAGCGGACCGCTTCTGAGTTAAGAGTTTGGTCGCAGGGAAACCGTTTATAGTAGATGATTTTCTGCACATTCCACCTAACACATAGCGAAACCCTCCTAACCGTCAATCCTGGCTTGGTCACCGTTTGCGCCGACTTACTGCTATTTGTATCGTAATTAAATGAATTTCGTGCGGGCAGAGCTTTGCAATTCGATTTAAGAGCGACCATCCGAAGATGTGTTCATCGATCGCTCGATATTATTAGGTTTTATGTATGAACTTTGATCTGAAAACTTCTTTAAAGTGGTTGCGATGCTTCTTGAGTTGTACATCTGATTATAATAATAGAACATCAGACATACTATAACTTCATAATTTATTGGTTTAGTCATGTTTTTGTTTGTCGTTGGCTAACACATGAAAAACCTGATCATATTGCATGTCATATGTAACCTCTCTACTATCAACGAAAATCGATGTAAACTAACGCTTAAGCTTTGCTGAGCTGCAGAGCGTAAGGGCTTACATTGCATTCTTCGAAAATATGCATTTTTCATCGAAAATGCATATTCATTCTATAGTTTCCAGTTATTAATTAAACAACATGCAAAGTGCTATTGTCAACCAAAAATTGTTCACTAAAAGTGTTAATATGTCACCAGAAGTTAATGTCAAGGTTGAACCGCATTTTACACTCGGCTGTAAGCTTGTGTCTTCTTCGGCGGCGCGACAACGAATAGCGGCCGAATCAAAGCCCCAACACCGGTAGTCTTTGCTATTGAATTTACACAATGATCACTCATCGTGGAATTATACAAAAAACCCAACTTAAATTACTTACCATTTGCCATTAAGTTGTCAGTTTATTGTTTGTGGTTTGAATATATTTAAAATCGGTATTGTGCAAAACAGTGAGACGCTGGCATCGGCAAAGTAACAAAGGGCGTGCGGCATTTGTTTTTTTTTTTCTTTCATTTCTATTTTTGTTTTGCTTCTGCTTCTTGCGGGTTAACCATTGTTGCTGTGGATTATTTATGTGCTGAAAATTTGAATTTCAAAAGTTTCAATAAAATATGCCACATTCCAAGCAACTAGTTAATAAAATACAAAATTGATACTAAACGCCTTTCATTTCAATAATAAAAGAATTTAAAATATTGATTACATTTAGTTCTCTAGTGCTTTCGTTGTTGTACTACCAATTGGGACACGCCTTATTACATATTGTATTAGGTATATATAAAGACTTATGGGTTTCGGTGACCGAACCAACTATTTGTGATTATTGACGTATGCTCCAACTCATTATTTCTGTATAACAAAACTTTCACAGAATATAAATCTCCTAATTTTAGACTAATCAAAAGCAAAGGGTCAGAGTTAATGCCGTATTTTTCCAACTTTGTTGTTGTTTAAGACATTTTTCTACTAATTTCTTATATAATATATTCATCAACATTTTTACCAATTTCAATAGGTGTTCTTGACAGTTGCATTATTAAAACTAGCTTTTCTGATCATCATCGATCGATCAGATTTCATAAGAAACTTTCTCGGCAACTGTAAATCCACAAAGAAATACGAAGATGGGTTATTGTTTCTTTGTTTTTTTTTTCGCAGAAATTCCGTCCTCTCAATAATTCGTTAAAATAGTATGTTTACCATTTAAAAAATTAAAATTCAACTTTGTTCTTTTAATATCATTGTGGTCATATGATCTGTTCTAGTGCAGAAACAAGTAACACACTGCTTCTTAGCTGTTTCTTTAACGAATCTACCGTTCTTCCATGCTATTTTAATTTCAATAGATATGTATTGGATTCTGGCAATAAGAAAATTAGAAACTAAGCCTATAATCCTTTAAAAATGTGGGAATACTTCATAGAGAAATAACTTGATATTCACCGTTTGAAATCGCCAAAAATCCCCCCGTCGGTGATTCGACTTTTCTTTTTGGAAGGAAAACCAAGTGGTGAAATTAAAGAACGCTTGGATTCGCTGACGTTGACTCTTCCTGAAGGGGATATATATTACAGATAGCTGAGGTGGTACGCTTTTCAAAATGTCGAGCATGAGGAAGCTGTTGGAGTGATGTATGCCTCGACTACCTGAATATGGTCAAAATAGTCACATGGATCTACAATACCTAATTATATGACATATTCGATTTTGATTTTGTAGGAAAACACCTTATTTGGTGAAAAAAAACTAGCCTTCCCTCATAAGAACGTATCGGCTCACCCTTCCGCAGTTCCAACAGCCAGTTTGATCGGGTTAGGGCACGAATTGCTGCCCATCGACGCTATTCTTCATATTTTTGCCGGTACGATTACTGCAAGGAACGTCTTCTTTTAGACGATTTATTTTTATAAAATTTTCGTTATTCGTTAATTTTGTTATTTTTTGAACAGCTTTCGAGAAGTAGTGTCTGAGATTAACTTTAAAAGGAATATCAGAGAGACCAAAAGATCTGCGCTTGTGACTCAACAAATTTGACTATATTTTCCTTATTTCTTAATGGAAATAGAATTTGCTTAATAATATTTTAAACTATGCCATTATCAATTTGCGGCGGTCGAACAGTCTAATCGTAATCATCAACTAACTTTAGTAAGGCATGATATTTAAAAAGTAGACCGTCTAAATATAATATAAGATCAAATTTAGCGCCATTTATTACCGAAATCTTTTAACAAAATTCGTTTTTGTATTTTTCGAAAAACTACTCCGTTTCCTTGCCATTAATTTAACGCACGCTTATAAGACATATTTCGGCGTTTACCATGTTATATTAAAATTTGCTTGGGATTTCATTAACAAACTAACCCATAAATTTGACAAATAATGATGCGTAACAGCCAACACCTGTTGGAACATGAACTTTTTCAGGCATAATTAACCAACACAAATAAGCGCTTGCTGTTTTGTTAGCTATTTTTTACAATCCCGCCTCTAGTTATTGTTGTTGTTTCGTTAATTTATTTTTCCCCATAATGAAATAATTAAATTTATGCCAAGACGAAGCAACTAAAATTTGCCACAAGCCAAATCCGATTGAAACGCCTCCGACACCCAACGCACAGACCAAGCAGCAACAGAGGCAGCAACGTGGAAGAGATTAAATACGCATAAAAGTAAAATAGCTAATGAAAGTGAAATGAAAACGCTAACTACAAGGGTCAACAAAACAACAATAATAACAAACAACGAGGTTATCGGCAATTAAAAAGAAAAACAAAAACTTAATTTCGGCTGCACCGTACAGTTAAAATACCCTTCACAGGTGTATTTCTTATAGCATAAAAGGGTTTAAATACACATTTATATTGAGTTTGATCGGTCAGTTTGTATGACAGCTAAATATATGCTATAGTGGACCGATCTAAATCATTTCTGCAGAGATTGCACTGCTATCTATGTCGAATTTCGTGAAGATATCTTGTCAAATAAAAAAGTTTTCCATACAAGGTCTTGATTTTTATCGCTCAATTTGCAGCTATGTGCTAATGTTGCGATATTGGCGTTTTTGACAAATATTTCTTGGGAAGAAAAGGACGTGTGCAAAATTTCATATCGATATCTCAAACACTGGGAGCTTATATACAGTATATACAGATGAACGGACGGATAGACGAACGAACATGGCTAAATCGAGTCAGCTCATCACGCTGATAATTTTTATATATATTTTATAGGCTCTCTGATGTTTCTTTCTGGGTTTCACGAACTACGTGGCAAACTTAATATACCCTGTTCAGGGCATAAAAAAGAAGATGTGCGCACAAAAACAGCAATAGTAGTAAGTGACGACTGTCGTCTGCCGTGAAATGCTAAAATTACCAAAAACGAATTGGCATAAAATTCGCAAATCGCAAAAAATACGCTAAATAGTGGTAAGGTGACGGTGACGAAGCAGTTGCAAGGCCGCTGGATCTACAAAGCATTCGTCGGGTGACCAATCAAATCAAGCTCATTATCACAGCTATCGAAGCTGGGGTGGAGTGACTACAAGCGCACACATGCAGACACAGCTAACGCTCAAATTGACCTGTTCGAATCGAGGAAGTTTAATTGACATGCATACGCATTCATACATAAATACTACAACTGTTTGTATTTAGTCGGATAATTGGACAAAAGCTCGCGCTACTCAAGTGGCAATTAATCACAGCGCATCTAAGCGCTTGATTTCCACTCACTACCATTCAATTGTATGGTATGTGCAGACATGGTCAACTTGTTTTCGGCTACTTAATTTTTGCGCTTAGCTCAGCCAGCTGAAAGAGCAATCGCTCGCTGGCGTTGCAGCTAAAAAGCTTTATTTAATCGTATAAATTTATACTGTCATACTTAGTTTGCATAAAGCATTCGATGTCAAAATACAATCATCACCAACGCTATTGTTGTTATGTTGTTTATTTGTGGTTTGTTGTTGGTTGTATGCAACAAAATGCTGTTGACATGCCAATCAATCAATTGCTTATTGAACATAAATCTGCGCGCGTTGCTTCGCAGTGAAAAGAAGAGAAAAATAAAATTAATGACGCTAACGTTAATATTGCAAGTTCGTTGCTTGAATCTTTTGTTTGAGCGCATTGGGTCTCCATTGATTTCTAAATGCATTAACATTTCATTTCGAGTCTGAATTTAGCTAAAAGTTTTTTTAATTAAAATTGAAAACATACATTTTTTACAAATATAAAGATGTGTATATGTATAACTGTTTGTGCGTATTAAAAACAATAAAACTTTAGTTTTTGTAACATAATGCTTTAGAAATAGAAACGTGCTGGTTGAAGGAAGTTTTTAATCGGCGAATCATCGCTATTTTGCACTTTCCGGTAATCATAGCCGCCATTGGTCGCCAAGCCGTCGAGTGAGCCTACGACCGATTTAATGGGCGCTACGCCCTCGTCGGAGAACTCAGAAGTGCCGCCAAGATTGTCATATTGTTCTGAAAATAGTTAAAATGTGTGATATATAAAAAAGAAAATATTATTACAATATTGTATAATTGGTAGTGAATGTTTTTTTTTGACTAAAGTATTTGAGTTCATCAATAATCCTTGGCATTTCTCGGAAAGTTCCTTATGAAATTTGTATTTTCGTGGCTGGTTTGATTTTCGTAATGGTCTTAGTTATTAAATAAAATCTGCTTAAGCTAGTTTTCTGCACTTTGTATTGACTTTTGAAAATATTTTTCCATAAAAACTTTTTCTTTTAAAAAAAATTGTAAAGAGTGGCTAAGTTTGGCTTTTTGATAATAATTGAGTTATAAATTACTAATAGTTTCAAAGTCAAATAAAGGATTTGGGATATAAATTGGGTTTGTAAACATAATTTCAAATAAACTGGTGACGTGGGTTAGATTCTCTAGATTCTCTGGCAAATCCTCCATATAGCAACTATGTTATTATATATGTATAACTAAATCTGAAAACGTAATCGGCCAACGTTTTGCTAGTTTGATGAAAATGATATGAAAAATATTTCTTTTATAAAGATCTTTGTCTTGATTTTGATTGGTCAGTTTGAATTTCAGCTATAGGTATGTTAAATGATCTAATCTAAGCAATTCGATATCTTTTTAAATAATTTTTGTTTTTGCATACAAGGACTAGATTTCGATACATCAGTTTGTATGACAGCTATATGCTATAAATGTCCGATCTGAAAAATTTGTTTGAAGGTTGTAACGTTGCTTTGGGAAATAATCCATGCCAAATTTCGTGAAGATATCTCGTCAAATGAAAAAGTTCTCGATACAAGGATATGATTTTGATCAGTCAGCTTGTATGGCAGCTATATTGGCGGTTCCGACATATTAGCAGCCACTTGGTGAGAAAAGGACGTGTGCAAAATTTCCCAGTGATATCTCAATAATTGAGGGATTAGTTTGCGTACAATCAGACTAAATCGACTAAGCTCATCACTCTGATTATTAATTCAAACTAACAAAACAAAAAAAAAAAAAACAAATCGTGAATGAAAGAAATATTGATTTGAAATGGAAAACGTCACTTTTGTAATTATTCTGTCGAAAAATTCTCACACCTCTTTAGAACCTATTAATATTTTTTTCATATATACCATAATTACACGTATGTTTACGCTTTAAGCCTTTCTCTGTGTAGTAATTTCATTCCAAAAAAATATGTATTTTTTAAGTGAAGTCAAAACAAAAACAAAGTAATCTATATATTATAATATGAACAAGACTCTTGATAATCTATCAGATATCGGAAACTGGTTATATGCTCATTTTCTAGGACTGTGTATTTTTTGAAGTCAACAAGTTCGCACAATATCTGTCAACTGGGTGATTTCAACTCACCTTGAATTTCCTTCTGCGCTGCGCTTGCCTCCTCCGGTGTTTTGTATTTGATAAAGAATACTTCGGGTTTGGTCGGTTGTGTTGGCGCTGGTGTGACAATCTCACCAATGTTCAAGTCATTATCCTTTTTGCTCAAAACATAAATGACAGTCTTCTCCTCTTGCGGCGCATATTCGGCTGTCAATTTGAGGTTAGCATTCTCAGAGGATGGTGCCTTAATAAAGACGACGCGATAATTCTTCTGCGGGCGACCAATAACGAAGTGTTTGCTGCGTGTTTGTTCTTCGGAATCTTCGGGTGCGGAGACTAAAAAGAATTGTTTGGTGATGATCGGTTCGGCGGTGGGTTGTGAGGGTGGTAGATACTTGTCACCACTATAAGATTGTTGCTCCGTTTTTTGTTGTTGTTGTGGTGGTCGAAGTGTTTGGTGTTGCGGCAAGAGGAGTGAATTGCCGCTCGGCGCAGGATTAAAGAAGCTTTCGGCGTTGTTGTCCTTCGAGCGAATGCCGTTGCTGTTTAAGCTGGGGCTATTGGAATTGCTAAGTGTGTTGGTGTTGGTGTTGCTATTGCGTTCATAGTGATAACCGAAACTGGACGCGGCGTTAGCGGTGACAGCGAGTAGCGCACAGCTATACACGAAAAGGACGCGCATTTTACACGGTTTTTAGTGTGAAAGAATTTTTCGATTTAGATTAAAATTGTTTTTCCTTTTCTTTTGGCAAAAACACGTAGCGACTAACGCAGCTCGAGGGAAACTGTAATTGTGTCTAAACTATTTTCAAAACTGTTGATAGTCTTAGACTGACAGCAACAATTTATAGACAGCCTAATGTCGGATGAAAATCAGATGTTGAATCTTGGGAAAATTTTGTGTGTTGTATGCAACAGTAATGGTGAAAATAAATATTTATATATAAGCGAGTTGATCATATTATGTCGATATGCAAATACAAACGCATATCTGGCTGCGCCTGAGAAACTCCGAAATCTTTATGGGTTTATTCAAATGTTGATGGTCATAAAAACATCCGCCCTCATGTAGGCTGGTATACACTATACTTATTTGTGCAAGCAGATTTGTAACTCAACTAAATACTTTACTGCCAATTAAATTAGTTCAATGTCAATGCGTGGGCGCTTTTTTCCTCTCGTGCTCATTTGCTAATTGCGAATTATGCCCAACTTCCCTCTCCTTCCTATAACTGTGTGGTTATAACCTCTAATTCTTCGTTTTCTCAGAGACATTTTTTCAAATTAATTATGACTAATTAATAGTAGTAGCTAATTAGTAGCGTAATATCATTTGTTGTTGTCGAATTCGTATTTTCACCATAAGAACACGCTTGTTGCCCGTAAAGCTGTGTTTTATGTGGCAACACAATTACTATTGCACATAACTGTAACTGCCCAACTTGCGCAATAATTATGTTAGTGAATATTTTTCATCTAAATCTGCAAATCACCCCACCTGAAGTAGCACGTGAGCGAGATATTTAACCGGGATCTCACGTAAAACCGCTTTTAAATGACTAGTTACTTTATCAGGAACGTAAGATTTCGGCATAATTATACCCATAACAAGGTTTAGTTTTTGAGATATCGATCTGAAATTTTGCACACGTCCCTTTCACCTTAAAAAGTTGCTTATTTGACGAAACCGCCGATATTGGAACACTATAGTATATAACTGCAATACCAACTGATTGATCAAACTATCCAAATATAATGACAATACTTGTATATCTTTACGAAACCTACTCTGAATCATTATTCAAGGCAGTGTCACTATCTTTCAGTTCGAACCACTATAGCATATAGCTGTTATTAAAACTGTTAAATCTAAATCAATGAAAATATATTTTTATACCTTTTTATTATATAAGAAATTATTCTGTGAAAAATATTATAACTTTCGTGAAACCGAAGTTAATTTTATTATTTGCTTTTTGCCAAAAAACGTTAAATATTGCTCGGAACAGAGATTTCTACTAACTGAAACCCACAGCTCTTTTTGAACGTGAATTAATTTTTGGCATAACTGGGTGATGGGTCTGATGATTCCCGCTTTTTTATGTTAGCAATCCAATTAAAACCCTAAAAGTCCCGCCTTCTTATAATTTTGTGAATTTTTTCGCATCCAACTTTACATTTACCGTTATATATTTGAACAGCTGATATAGCAAAGCTTGTTTGTAAAAATTTTCTTAACTTTTTGGGAATAGTTTTTGTTTGGTGCCCTATCGAAGATGGAAAATTGAAAACAGCATTTATGGCATATTATAGTTCACTATCAAAAGGATAAAAAGCAGTTTAAGGTAGTCGTTAGTTAGTAGTGTTAACCGAACGCCAATGCTAAAATTGGTTTGCAAAATTCCGGTCTGCCAATTTCGATATTGAGGATGCACCTCGTCCTGGAAAGCCTGTTGAAGCCAATGTGGATAAAATAAAGTCGTTGGTCGATGTAAATCGTCGAATAGCAATTTCGAGAGATTACTGAAAGATTAAATTTGTCTAACGCAAGCATTCACGTTACACAATAAAAAAAATATTGTGTAAATTGTACTAAAAAACACGAAATTACTTAGTGTACGACCGAATATAAAGAATTTTGGCCCGAAGTTGCCTTGTTCATTGAGACTTTGTCTAAGACTTTTATCACTCATTCACTACATTTAAAACTATGTATTCAAGGTGATAGAGATAACGGCATTTCAGCAGCCTCGAAGTACGTTGTTTTATCTAAACTAAATAACAGTCATTACATTTCTGGTTTTAGTTCTGTGCTGTGCATCTATTTCCTTCTTCTGTGGTGCATATATCCTTTTCCTTTTTAAAGCTCTAAAATTACTTGAATTCGTGAAAGCATCCAGACTCAATAAAAAAAGAGAACTTCGGAAAAGACAATAAAACCTTAACCTTGGTTATGCGATAATAACAAATAAATACAACGAAGAAAATGAAGAAGAAAAACCGTCTAGACAACAGTAGTTAGCGGTGATCAAATTCATATTTATGATTTTAAGAATCGGAAATGATTTTTTCAAAACTAATTGATGTTTTACGCTCGTAAATTAACAAACTAACTTTACGAATTTGCAATGCAAATGGAAAGATATAAATATTTAGTAGCGAAGCTAACTCCATGAATTATATCATTGAAAGCGCGAAAAAGTATACAAAATATGTATATGAATAAAGAACAAAGAGAATTTGCGTAAACAAATATTTTAAGAATTTCGCTAAAAAAATTGTCATAGTGGTGGTTTGAAGTGCTATAACTATGCAAACACTCAATACATCAAACTGTAATTTGCTACATGGAATCGCAGTGGAGAGAGTCACCAGTGGGCCGCAAATTGTTAAAAAGTGGTTGTGTACGCGGCCTCAAATAAGTTGTATATCACAAACCGCTAAAGCTATATAAACCATACGAGTACTTGTTGAGGACGTTTCCTTTCGATACTTCCTCAGACACGGTGAAAATAGGTGAAAACTGATAACAACCACACACCCGCTCCTCATATAACAATTATGTTGATGTTATGATTTTTAAAATTGATCGTATATTATTCAAAGGGCTCCTTGGAAGCCGGTGTAAAAATTGAACAATGAGCCCATTTTTAGGTGAATTCCTATACCTTAAAAACGACTTGACCAACTTCAACTAAACGCCTTACATAACATTCTCCTAACATCCTTGTGTTACAGTGCGAAAATGGGCGAATTTCAACTCAACCATGCCTACTTTCCATATACGCTATTTTAAATTCCACCTGATTCTATCACTTTATAGTATACAAATCTTACAACAATAAAAATAACAGGATAAAATAGTGTCTATGCCCATATGCCATTTTACGTCTAAAAATTGTTGAAATCGGACCATAAATTTCCAAATCCTCCGATATCGAATATGTGTACTCCAGTGCCTGTGGCTGAGTTTTTACCGAAAATATCAGTCACTGTGAGCTTCCATATATCTAATATACGAAATCGTGGAGCAAAAAATGGACAATATCGTAAAATAATGTGGTTTAGCGCTGAATATGAATGAAAATGGCCTGTACTCTTACTTACTCTTAACATTACACTCCTAATATAACTCTTCAGATTATTATATATATTAGCTTTTTCTTACTTGTTTTTAATAAATTTTTTTTTTTATTGTAAAGTTTAAGTTAAGTTCAAAATTTTCCTGGATCCGCTCAGTAGAAAAAACTTAATAATTTATTTTAAATTTAAATTTATTAAATCGCATAATTTTCGTAAATAAAAAACAATAAAAAGTAATATGTTTAACAACAAGTAATAATTAACAATTAATCAACGAGTTTTCGGCTTGATGCCATGTGTTACGCAATGCAACGTTAACAAATAACAACAAAACATTTCTAACAATTCAAGCTGCATTTGAAGCGTTGTCTTACAGACGCAAAGCAGCGGGCAGGTACTGGCTAAGTGGTGAGGATGCGCTACCGAGCTCCTCTGGAGGGGGAGCAATGGCTCTGTAGTTATAGCTGCCGTCAGGAGCAATACCGTCCAAAGAGCCGATAACGGAAGCGACCGGAGCGGTACCTTCATCAGAGAATTCCTTAGTGCCACCCAATTGGTCGTATTGGTCTATGAAGGGAATAGTTTTATTGTGATTATTTACAATTTTTTAAATGTATGCACTTGTGCGCTAAATATTTTCACACTCACCTTGGATTTCTTTTTGTGCCGCCTGAGCTTCCTCAGGAGTCTTGTATTTGATGAAGAATACTTCCGGTTTGCTGGGCACTGTTGGCGCTGGTGTGGCAAAGTCATTGGCTGTGAGTTCGTTACCCTTCTTGCTGAGCACATAAATGACAGTCTTCTCCTCTTGTGGTGCAAATTCAGCTGACAATTTCAGGTTGTCGTTATCAGAGTTTGGTGCCTTAATGAAGACGACACGATAGTTCTTCTGTGGACGTCCGATGACCAGATGTTTTGGTTTGCCAGCACCTTCAGTGTCTTCCGGCGCCGAGATCAAGTAGAATTGCTTGTGTACGCTGGGTGGTTGTGTTGTTGTGGCAGGTGGCAAATACTTCTCACCACCATGTGCTGAAGGCACGAAACTGCTGGCGGCTGGCTGGGCGCCATAACCATAACCGAATTGTGGCGCAGCACTGACGGCAGCAATTGTCGCCAAAAAAGCGACTAATACAAAAGAACGCATCGCGAATTGGTTTGTTTAGAATAAGTCCCTTCTCGAAAGTATTTGCAAATTGATTGCGTTTGATATTTTTTGATTTTCACCCAAAATCACACACTACACTTCACTGCACTGATTGTGTTGATCCTCTAAGAGGTTTACGGTTGCACTGCTTGACCTGTCTGCCTTGCAATACCGTTTTATATGCGAATTGTTACGCTTTTCGCACTACAAAATTTGCGAAATCAATGCAAATTTGCTCTTCGAACTGGGCGATCAAAGACGGCGACGCTAATGTCGATCGCCGCCGCGCGCAGTTCGGTTTACCAATAGATATTAGCGCAAAAGCATCTGCAATAATAATCTCAAAAGCGTTTAAATGTCTAGCTACAACAACAATATGCGCTGATCGTAATCGCATCCGTCATTAAAGCGCTGCTGACCTGCTGCACCCTCGGTATTTGTCAAGCGCAGCGCCTTTTTTAGTCTGCAATTCTATTAACGCGAGCTCGATCTTTATTTTTGCACTCTTTTTCATCTAAGTTTACTTTAATTAATTGCTCACTTTATTTCCGCGACAACTTAGATTATTTCATATACATATATGTACGTAACTCAGAGACTAACCGAATTTTCTTGCATACTTTCGAGCGTAATTGTCGCTTGGATTTTCGTTTGTTTCCTCAAGGCTAATCATTCCTAAACAGCTAAATTGCTACCTGTATTGAGCGTCTTCAGACATTTATGTTGCACTTTAGTCTTCTGCCCATTGTGTTGTCGCCTTCCTTATGTCTGTCTTTTTGTTGTCAAACAATGTCTAATTCCTCATCGAGAACTTTGATCATCGTTAAATACGAATCGGTTATAAAATTTGAGTGTTCTTGATGTCGAAATGATCGCAAAATTGAATTTAAATGTGTTCGCTCATAAAATTAATGACGAACTGCTTTGCGATGCTTCATAGTCAAAACAGAATCGATCATAAAATAGATGCTTATAATTCTTATTTAAAGTTAGTGTAAAATCAGCGGTCATTAACACTCGGAAAAAGTACTTACTTAGTTCTGTATAGTGTTTCCAATATACTTTCGCATTTGATGAAATTTGTAAAGATTTTTCGACTTGATTGGTTGCTTGGTTGGATTTGATAAAAAATCTGATTTTTTTTCCCATGTGCCCAATTTCTATTAAATTAGGGCATTTTGAGCCGTAGAATATATCCCGTCTCATCCGGCTGAAGGTAGAGCATTCGCATAGATAATGTCCTAGCGTCTCATTATTCTGCGCGCAAGCTCTGCATTCCACCGAATCCACTTTTTTTCTGAAGTTGGGATCTTAAGGGTAGGTGCTCTGCGATAGCCCCTACAATGTTACTAAGTTTTATTTCGCCTAGCAGTAGGAACTTTTTGGTCTATTCATCATACCCACACACTACTCCAAAGTAACTTTGAGGTATGTTCTGTGTTGCTTGGGTTCCAAACCTGAGGTGTTCTTCTAGGGTCAATTGCTTCAAACAATCCTTGAAGGAGATAAAAAAAAAAACGTAAATCTAGTAAAATTTTTTATCGAAACAGTTTGCGCCTGCAGTTTATATTGACCAGTCCATTATATGATTAGATGGTATATATTTTGTATTAAAGATTTTAGAAATTTAGGACGTTGATTTTGATTTATTTTAATATTTTTTATTTTATATTCTTTTATATTTTTTTATTTAGCAAAAAGCCAAAGAATTTTTGCCAGTGTTGTTACGTGCTAAAATTATTGATATTCATGATATTGACCTTTAGTCTTACTTTAGCGTTGGGTATTTCCAACAGCAGCGCTGAATTCGAAACTAGGCTATAAATAAGCAATACAAATATCAAATTTTGTTGGTCTTTAGCCGAAGGAATTCAACAAAGATATTAACTGTATAAAGTTCTGAATTCACAGAATCGCATATATAAAAGGCAATACAAAGCTAATTAGGAAATTTAAAAAAAAGAGATATGCAAATATTTCTTGGATTTTCCCAAGCCTAACACCATTTTAGTTCCAAACACAATTCGTATGAATCTCGATATAAATTTATTTAAAATAAACAACAAAATTTAACAAATGAAAATAACAACACATATAAAACAAAGATTGTGCGCATATAACAAATATGCTTGTCACAGATTCCGCTTAACAATTAATCAACATTGCTAACTAAATACGTAATAAATCGTAAATTTTCATATCAAATTCCAACTAAACCTTCAAAAAAGATGGCAAATATTGAGAGCTGGGCTGCTGGGGCTCCGCCAAATTGGCGCTACCACCGTTCACTTGACGATAGTTATAGCTGCCATCAGGGTTAAGGCTGTCCAAAGCGCCAACGACCGAGGTGATGGGAGCGGTGTCTTCACCGAATTGGTTGTTGCCGCCCAATTGATCGTATTGGTCTGGAAGAGAGAGAGAGCAAAAGGAGTTTGGTTCAAAACAAGCACTTTTTTGTGACTTATATTACTGTGTACGAGTTTACATATATATCGGCACATATTGTGCCTTTAAGCGCTATCCCACAAAATTTGCTACTTGCGCCCATTTAAATTCTCAACACTTACCTTGAATTTCCTTCTGCGCCTGTTGTGCCTCCTCGGGTGTCTTGTATTTGATGAAGAAGACCTCTGGCTTGCTGGGCACAGTTGGTGCTGGTGTAGCAATATTGGCGGCATCGATATCTTCACCCTTCTTGTGCAACACATAGATAACGGTTTTCTCTTCTTGTGGCGCGAATTCGGCAGAATATTTAACATTATCGGGTGTGGGTGCCTTAATGAAGATCACTCGGTAATTCTTTTGTGGTTTGCCCAAAACTAAATGTTTCGATTTGGTGGCATTATCTTCCGGTGCCGAGATGGTGTAGAATTGTTTGTTTATAAGTGGTGCCTGTTGCTCGGACTCGGGTGGTAGGTATTTGTCACCACCACGTCCGCCGCCATGACTTAGGGAGTTACCATTGCCAATGGCACCACCGCCAATGCTGGGGGCGACGCCACCGCTACCGCTGGGCACTCCATTGCTGTTGCGTGCGGATAATCCACTGGAAATGCCTGCGGGTTCGTATCCATATTGCGGCGCGGCTGTGGCGCTTATGGCGAAGAGTGCGAGTGCTACGATCAGGAGACGCATTTTTGCAAAGAATTTTATTTAATAAATTTTTTTTTTATATAAAAGTTTTCAATATTTCACAAAACACTTGGTTATCACCGTTCACGTTTCAATTTTTTCAATATTCGATGTTTATATTTTAAATATTTTTCAATTTGTTCGTTCGATTTGCCGCGTCACACCGCGTTGATGCTTTAGTATCGAATTAAGTTGGTTTACTGGATATAAGCCTATTGATCTACATAGTTTATATACAAAGTGGGGGTCGCGTTTCGTTCGCCTTTACATTGGCTGTTGCATAAATTGAGCAGATCTTCTGCGCTTCTGCACCAGCTATTTAAAATATGCAGATTTGCTACTTTGTATTGGCCCCTTTGTGTCTCTGTATTTGTCCATTAAAGCCAATTTACTTCTTGGTGTTTTTTTTTTGTTTGTTTGTTCGTTTTTCTTAGGCCTACCAAACCGTTTAATGATTTTGTCACCGCTATTGTTTCTATTGCCGTATGGTCTTATATGAAACGTGTGACACTTTGCTTTGCTATCATATACGAAAATTGAGTTAATCCAAGGGAGTGAGCCAAATTATACGAATTCCAATTTGTTGTGGTGCACAAAACGCTTTAACACCAGTGTTGTTTTTATTGTATCAGCGTTCAAAGAGCGTTTAGGCTTATTAGTTGTGTACTTCGTTGTTGTGCAAGTTGTTTGGTGTTTCTGTTGTTTTTGCTGGTTCTGGTTTCTGTCCAAATTCACACTCCAATTTTACGCATGTTCATAATTTTGGTTGGATATATCATTTTACTTGACTATAAATAACTTTGACTCTGTGGTCCATTGTTCGTCTGAACGCAGCTGGATAATTAATTAGTTGGTGATGTACTAAACGGGTTGGCAATTAATGGCATCAGATGTAAAACTTATTTTGTTTTACCTAAAATGTAAATTTTTTTACAGATAAATTAATTCATATTTTAATATGTATATTTGCTGGTTAGAAATTGGTTTTTCATGTAGGCGGACATTTTTAAACAAATGTTCCATTTACTTGTATATCTATCGGTCATTAGCGCTAGCCTTCTTATGCTTTGGTACTTGTAATAGCGGTAAGTGCTTTTCATATCATCCTCTCTCTTTATCAAGATACGAAATATGTTAATAGAATTAAGCTTGTTAAAAAAAATTGCAAGATTTCGATCCTTATCTTTCCCCAGACTCCATATACCGAAGTGAGTGTCAAGCCTTTTTTAAGGCAAATGTACAGAGTTCTTCGCTCATGTCAGCATTCCGATTATCCTAAAAGGGAGTCACCAGGCCTTCTTGAATCCAGAAAACTTGATATTATGCAATAAAAATTCGCTTAACGCTTAGGATACGTTCCATCAAAGTATAGCGTAATGCGAAATCGCGCTAAAAGAAGCTATTTTAACATTTAATTAATGGGGTTAGCGAAAGATAGATAGAATGGATGGTGTTTCCAATTTCTGACTTTGTCAAGAAGGCATCTAATGTAGTTTTCGTTTTACTTTTGCATTCTGTTAAAAGTTGTTTATAAGTGAATAAAACATCTTTAGCACCTCGTCTTGCCTTTGAGCTCTTGTCAAAATTTAGATCATATTCAATAAGTTGGTCCATAATTTCAGTTATGGTGGTCCGTTTTACAAATGCCATCGAAAATTCGTTTTGCTCTTCTGTGAATATTACTGTTTTTTTTTCTTGCTCAACTAATTCTTTGTGCTCATCGTTGCTGCTGTTTCTTGAATTATTCCTGCGACGTTTTCCACATCTATCTCACTTAAACCGCTTTGTTTTGCTAATTCCACTATTTCATCCATATGGACAGAATGTCAAATGTCTACTCTCTACTTACATCTGGCCAAATGTTTCTCCATAATGTTTTCAAAGATTTTTCTGTTATCTCATTTCAAGAAAGGTTTATGTTTTATACAGCATTCTTGTTATTGTAGTTTTTCCAAACTTTTCTTATTGATTGCCTCTCTTCTCCGTCTACTTTTTCAAACAT